TCTCCTAGTGATTGGCCCAAAGTCACCCAGCTGGCTTTCAGATCTAAAGCGGGACTACAACTCCCAGTCCCCTGCAATGCATTCTAGTCTGGTGCCTTAACTATCAGACCAAACTGCCTCTCAAGAAGCCACGATACCACCTTGGCATGTATGGCAACCCTCTATGGTCCTCCAGAAGTATAAAAGGGGAACCCTTCCCCACGTGACTGGCTGGGGAATTGTGGGAATTGGAGTCCACCCAGTTTAAAAGTTCCTGAGGTTGTGAAATGCTGCTTTCCCGAATGATCCATTTTCACGCACAACCGTCTGCTGTTCATCAGCTCTCGGGGTACTCTGCACAGGCTCAGAGGTTAGAACCTCCCCCTCAATTCACCATTTAGAAAAATGGGAGTTCCTTTTCCTAAGCTGGTAACTCCCCTCTTCAAGCATGCTGCAGTTTAAGCACTGTTTTTAAAAAAGGCCAAATCGATTTAGGAGCATCGATACTTAATGAGATCCTGGTTTGATAATGGCTTGCTAAACGAGAGCCTGGCTGTTCCTACAAGTTTGTTTGTCTTTCCATCTCTATCACCCACCACCAGCAGTGCAGGCAAAGGGGATGACGCAATTCCCCCCCCCTCCCCACTTGTCAGCTCCAATTAAACCATCATCTGTGCAACTCAAATACAAGGCAGGCATGATTAAACACTGTACTGCCAGAACACAATCACACACACACACACAATCACACAGACACACACACACTCAGAATAGGAATAGTAGAGAATATAGAAAACATACAATAGAATATAGAGAATGGAATAAATAGAATAGAACAGAATGTAGAAAATGTAGAATAAGAGTATTGGAATGAAAAATAGAATAGAAAATAATAATAGAATAGAAAGAACAGAAAGGAACGGAGTGGAGTGGAATAAAATAGAATAATGGAGTTGGAAGGGACCTTGGGGGTCTTCTAGTCTAACCCCCTGCTTAAGCAGGAAACCTTCCACCATTTCACACAAATGGTTGTCCAATCTCTTCTTCAAAACTCCCAGCGTTGGAGCATTTACAACTTCTGGAGGCAAGTCGTTCCACTGATTAATTATTTTCTGTTCCTGTCCTGCAGATCTCTTTCCTCTATAGGACAAAGCCGGCCCTTGAAATCGCTTCGGTTCTTCTCATTCACGTAAATCCAGAATGGGCCAGGTCCTCAGGGCAAGGGAGGCCCCCAGAAACCCCATGCTTCATCATCTGATGTCCTCTGCCCCCCTCCTCCTCCTCCTTCCTCTTCCTCTTCATCCTCCTCCTCCCTTTCCCTCTTCCTCTTCATCCTCCTTCTCCTCCCTCTCCCTCTCCCTCCTTCTCCTCCTTCTCCTGTTCTTCTTGTTCTTGTTCTCCTCCTCCTCTTCCTCTTCTGCCTCTTCCTCCTTCCTCTTCGTCCTCCTCCTCCCTTTCCCTCTTCCTCTTCCTCTTCATCCTCCTTCTCCTCCCTCTCCCTCCTCCTCCTCCTTCCTCTTCTGCCTCTTCTTCCTTCCTCTTTGTCCTCCTCCTCCCTTTCCCTCTTCCTCTTCCTCTTCATCCTCCTTCTCTTCCCTCTCCCTCCTCCTCCTCCTCCATCCCTCCACCTACCCAGACTCATATAAAATAAATTGCGCAAGGTGAGAATGAGAGGAGATTTTATATTCCTGCCCATCCATTCCTCAATATAAGCATTCAACAGTTGAATCCCCTAGATCAGAGGTGGACTTCAAATAGTTCTCTGCTGGGGGGGGGCATCGCCATGCTGGGCATGGACTATTCAGCCCCCTGCACCATCCTGGGAGCAAAAAATGGGCTGTGGGGGGCCCGTTTTCAATCGCCCCGGTCTCCAGAGGCTCTCCCAAAATAGGACCATTTTCGCCCTCCGTGAGCCTCTGACATGCCCATTTTCCACCTCCCTGGGCTCCACGCAGCCCCTTCACTTACCTAGGATCTAAAATGGGCCACGTGGGGACTTCTGGAAGGGGCAGGGTGGGGTAGGACCAGCTGGTCATTGGAACTACCGGTTCGCCGAACCGGATGTAAAATTAACATCCGGTTCATCTGAACCAGTGCAAACCAGCTGAAGCCCGCCCACCCCTGCACTAGATATTAGGGGAAGGGAATGGTTTTATTTTTGCTGGCAGGACCTTCAAAAATCTTCTTTGCTTTTCCACAAATTATTTTATGCTGCATTTTCCTTGCCGGGAAGAAGAAAAGCTGGAAATGGGTGAGAAGGGGCGGAGGAAAAAGCAGTCCATGTTTTTTGGATGCAAAAAAGCAAGAGAGATTTTTTTTCTGGGCCTTTCTTGGTTGCAAGCAAGAGTCTTATTACTCTCTCTCTCTCTCTCTCTCTCTCTCTCACACACACACACACACACACACACAAACACAGGCAAACTCATTTGCACTCCCTGCCACGGCCTCATTTGCACAACATCTTCGAGCGGCGTCTCCAAGGATCTCCATCCTGGATCCTGTTTCTCGAGAGAGCCTGTCGTGGTGCTGGATCTTCCGGCAGGGTTTTAAGGATTCACAAGACCAGCCGAGAGCGGGGAAAATCGGATGGGTCGTGACTTCTTTAATGGGGAGCGAAACATCTCCTCTCCGCCGGGAGGGGGGGAAAAAATATGAGTGTATCAGTTGCAAAGCAGAAGTGCGAGAGAGAGAGAGAGAGAGAGAGAGAGAGAGAGAGAGAGAGAGAGAGAAAGGAAAAATTCTTTCTTATGGAGAAAGCTTGGCAGAAGCTCGGCTTGCCTCTGAAATAGCAAAATAGAAAATCGAAATGGGGATTTGGGGTTGTTTATTTACGGCTACGTGCTGCAAATGGAGCAGGGTAGCCTTTGGAAATGTTGCAAAAAAAAAACCCCACTTGGCTGCCTTCGTTTGGTTGGGTGGATCTCAGACACGGGTCTTCCGCCCTCTAAAAAAAACCTTATAATTCCCAGAATCCCCTGCTAGCTGCGACTCACAGCATTCCTGCTATAGGAATCAATTTGATTTTTTTTTATCCCACCTTCATTACTTTCTAAATAATTGAAGGGGTTGACTATATACCTAATAATCTTCCCTCCTATTTTCCCCACAAAGACAAGGGACTAGTCCAAAGTCACGTTGCTGGTTTTTATGGCTAAGGTGGGACTGGAACTCACTCTGTGCTGGCAGTTGGCTCAAAATCACTCATCCATTTTTCGTGGCTAAGGTGGGATTAGAACTCAATGTCTCCTGGTGATTGACCCAAAGTCACTTTGCTGGCTCTCATGCCCAAGAAAGAACTAGAACTCACCATTTCCTGG